ATTGTTGTTTGGCGGGTCCGGGCTGGGGATTCGAACCCGCCACCTTAGGTGTACGTGGCTGGCGCCTTAGCCGGTTGAGCTATAGGCGCCGAGCCTGCTCTCACTGTTTTAACAAAACAACAACATGAAAAACCTTGCATACCTTGGTCGATTGGAGAATTTTAATGTATTCATTTATCATTGTAAAACCAAGGACAATTTTATAATTTTTTTGTACATAGCTGTTATATGTAGGGAAATCTGTCTTTAAGTAGGGATAAATTATTCCAAAAAAAAAAAAATTAATCCTAGATAGTTTTCCCTTTAAGTCAAGCATCTTGTTGTTTAAATAAACTTCTTATTTAAAAAAAAATAAATTGAGAATTTAATCAGTAGACTTGGACAATTTTTTTTTCAGACAAAGTCTCACTGTGTCGCTTTCAGTAGAGTGCTGTGCTGTCACAGCTCACAGTAACCTCAAACTCTTGGGCTTAAGTGATTCTCTTGCCTCAAACCAAAGAGCTGGGACTACAAGGGCCCACCATATTGCCTGGCTATTTTTTATTGTAGTTGTCATTGTTGTTTAGCAGGCCTGGGCCAGGTTCGAACCTGCCAGCTTTAGTGTATCAGCTAGCGGCATAACCACTGTACTATGGGTGCCGAGCCTGGACAATTTTTTTAAATTAAGTATAAATAATAATTTTTTTTTTTTAAGACAGAGTCTTACTTTGTCACTGTTGATAGAGTGCCATGGCATCATAGCTCACATAAACCTCAAATTCTTGGGTTCAGGAGATTTATCTGCCTCAGCCTCTCAGGACTGTAAGTGCCTGACAGAAGACCCAGGTAATTTTTCTTTCTTTCTTTTTTTTTTTAATTTTTTTTTCTTTCTTTCTTTTTTTTTGGTCTCAAACAAATTCCTGAGTTCAAGGGATCCAACTGCCTTGGTTTCCCAGAATGCTAGGATTACAGGTGTGAGCCACCGGGCCTGGCCTATTTTTCTTTTAAAAGGTGGCAAGACTCACAAAATTTATTTTACTGTTCATTATTGAGTCAGAACAGTTTGAAAAATGCCAACCAAGGCTCGGCGCCTGTAGCTCAAGCGGCTAAGGCGCCAGCCACATATACCTGAGCTGGCAGGTTCTAATCCAACCCAGGCCTGCCAAACAACAATGACAACTACAACCAAAAAATGGCTGGGTGTTGTGGTCGGCACCTGTAGTTCCAGCTA